TCTCTCTCTCTCTCTCTCTCTCTCTCTCTCTCTCTCTCTCTCTCTCTCTGTACACTTGGAACTTTTCCACTATATTCTACACTTATGGCAATATCATCTTAGCTCATTTGCAGTACTAATCCTTGATCAAAAAGATCATCCAAACCAGGCAGTGGTGGTGCACGCCTTTAATCCCAGCACTCTGAAAGGAGAAGCAGGCAGATCACTGTGAGTTTGAGGCCAGCCTGGTCTAAAAAGTGAGTTCCAGGACAGCCAGGGCTACACAGAGAAACCCTGCCTCAAAAAAAAAAAAAAAACAAAAAAAACATTATCCATATAATTCATATAATTCTAGTTAACAAATGTGTTCTGTTATTTCTATTGGTAAAGGGATAAATAAGGTATATTTGAGAATTATGGATTTGGGGGCTAGAGAGATGGCTCAGTATTTAAGAGCATTTGTTGGTCTTGCACAGGACATCAATTCAATTCCTAGTACTCACAGGTGGCTCACAACTATCCTTAACTGATGAAATAGGAATCCTGTTATGGAAACCCTTAAGGTTGTAAAAATGTCACTATACATTGTTTCACTGTATTAAACAGCTTTACTTGCTAAACAAAGATGGCTAAATGTTTATCAAAGTACTTATATTTTACAATGTCAAACAACCTAAAAGTTAAAACTTTAGTCTCAAATGTATACAACCCCAATCTGACTGCCTATAGTCAGAAATTTTTAATTTTCTTTGCTATTTTTTTAGTATTTATTTCATATTTTAAAAGAATATACTAATCAAGGGGCTGGAGATACGGCTCAGCGGTTAAGAGCACTGACAACCCTTCTGGAGGACCAGGGTTCAATTCCCAGCACCCATGCAGTAGCTGACAATTGTGTATAGCTCCAATTCCAGAGGATCCAGCAACCTTTACACAGACATATATGCATGCAAAATACCAATACACATAAAATAAAAATAAGAAAAATTTTAAAAAGAATATGCTAATCAGAGTTTTTTTACTTCTCAGTTTGAAATTTTATTTTGTCTTTGTTTTCTCCAGTTATTTATTTAGCAATATATATATATATAATATATATTCATAATATGTAAATATATATTGAATATGTATATATATTGAATATGTATATATTCAATATATGTAAAAGGTTTCCACATCATAGAAAAAAAGTCTTCAAAGACAAGCAGCATCTAAACATAGCACAGTATTCTGTCATAGTCGAAACTTCTTTAAGGACTCAACAAAACCTAAAAAATGAACTGTACTATCTCTAGCTTTACCAACTACAATGATCTTTGTTTTCTGAAAATAAAAAGAATGTTTTTCAAGCACAATTTATTGTTTTACATTATTACAGAAATGTATATACTAAAGTATAGATTATTTTGAGAGAAATTTAGCATTCATTTCAGGCAAAGAACTCGCTCTGTTTAAACTGGGTGATACGGTGGTGGCAAGTCTGTAATCCAATGCTTGGAATGTGAGGAAGGAGGTTAGCTCAAAGCTAGTATAGGCCACTCCCAAAATACACCCACTGCCTTTACACAGCCTATTGAAAAGAAAACTTGTGAAATTCTGCCATCTTCCTAACATAGTAAACAATGTTAGTAGTAACCCCACATATAGTTGGCTTCTAACAGCAAGTCCCACTTCCTGCATCTCTCACTCAAATTATTTGCTCCAAATGTTCATTATTCCAGATAAGGGATAACTGTTAAACATTTTTTAATGCCATATTAATTTGTAACATTGTTCCAAACTCTGTTCTCTGACAGTTTCCCTATTCTAAATCCAATATAAGGATTACAGTTCAGGAGTTTATTTCAGAGACCAAGCTTCTTCTTTTTAAAAAAGACTAAGAATTCAAAAGAAAAGTGTATAGCAGAATCTTATTCAAGAAAGATTATTGCTGGTATAACAGCTTTAACTACATTAATTGCTAGCACCACTGCTTCTGCAATTGCTTTGATACAAGAAGTTAAGACAGCTACTTTTGTTAATCATTTAGCAAAAAATGTTACTAATGTGTTGAATGTACAAGAGGATTTAGATAGGCATTTGGAGCAACGGATTGATGCTCTTTATCCTATTAAAATTATTGGAAGGAGGTTCAGAGTTTAAGGTAAGGAGCCATTGAGAGTCATGCCAAATACAATTGGATTCGTGTGAGTTTTAAAATTTACAGTGGTAGTCATTATAATTAGGAAAAAGTTTAAAGACACTTGGAGTGTATTTGGCATAATTCTAACACCTCTCTGGATGTTTTAACTTTGCATAGCGAGTTTATGAATTTAAAGAATGTTACTCTGCTGAATGTTGATGGGGCGGATACTGCTGATAAAATTACCCATGGCCTGAGGTCAGTATTTCTATTTTGGTCAAGCTTCAAGAATGGCATATATAGCTTGATCATGCTAGCCCTTTTTGTCCTGGGAAGACTTTTATTCCTCCCCATTGTGTTAAGCCCTTAGAAACAGTGGTCACAGGAATGTTCATGGAATTTTGTTTATTGCCTTGCTTGTTCTTTGACTATTTTTGTTGTTTGTCTTGCTTGGTACTTGACTATTTGCATCTATTGTGTTGCTAGACCCTCAGCCTAGAACTTACCTGAATACTTGCCTGTAATTCAAATGGTATAAAAGCAAAAAGGAAGAGGGGAGATAGGATAGAGGACTTTAGGGAGGGGAAATGGGGAAAGGGGATGACATCCGAAATGTAAATAAATAAACTATCCAATAAAATAAAATGGTATAAAAGCAAAAAGGAGGAGGGAGGATGGGATAGAGGGTTTTTAGAAGGGGAAATGGAGAAAGGGAATGACATCTGAAATGTAAATAAGTAAAATATCCAATAAAAAAAAGAATAAAAAAAGACTAAGAATTCAAAAGAAAAGTTTATAGCAGAATCTTATTCAAGAAAGAAAATTCTTACCATGTTGAATTGTTGCTGTAGTTTTTCATTTGCATAATTTATACAGAACTGTTCAAAACTATTTATCTCAAAGGTTTCAAATCTGTAATATCGAAAAAGTAAAGTAGAAAGAAAAGAAAAATAATAATTTTAAAAAATATTTAAAATATGCACACTTGGAAGAGAAAACTGGGAAGTTGCTTAACATCACCTTTTCTTTTACTTATGAGATAAAGGTCTGTAAGTTGTAAAGGACAGAATATGATGAGCATCAGCTGAGACAAAGCTTCCTTTGTATGGTCCTGCCTAAGGATATGCAGCCTTGGGTGTTTGAGGCTAATTCATCCTCCAGTAGGAAAACAATAGAACTATGCTAAAGCCACAGTTCTTATCAATTTATTCTCCTAACATTTCACACAAAAGAGAGAGATAGAAACAGAAGCCTTATAGGTTCTTCTGAAAAACTGAACCAGAGAGTGAAAAATTAGCTGCCAAACAAGTCCTTGTACAAAAAAGTATCAATATTTACAGTAGTGTATTCAGAGAAGGGAACTAGAAATGAAATTGTATTTTTAGAAATTCAATAATTTATCATATGAGAGTCTGAAAACCAATTAATTCTACCCATTAGCTTAGTTGATATACTCTGGAGCTGAGTTAATTTTTGTTTTAAGCAATGTGCATTTTTTTGCATCATTATATCTCCATCATCAAGACACTTCTGAATGGTTATAAGTAGGATTTCCTTCTCTTCTCCAGTAGAAAGCAAATTAAACAGTGCAAAGAGGTACAAAACACCTCCAAATAAACAACTGCTTCCCAGCAGCCTAGGGCAGCCAGCCAAATGCACTCACCCGTAAATGTCCAGCACACCAATGAAAGAGTGCTGTTTGACAGCGGAATGGAGAGCCTGATTGACATGATCAACAATCCAGTTAAAGAGCTTAGCATAAATGTGCTTGGCTAAAGCATCTCGGGCATTTGTGGCCTGCAGCTTGGAGATGGGCTTGATGTATGTCTCTGTGGCAGTAGCTAGCTTTCGGTGGCAAAGCCAGTGACACATCTCTTCATAATCCACACCCATAAGGTCACAGAAGATGATAAGAGGCTCATGCTTAGGCTACAAAAGAGAATGTGTTATTGTGTATGGCCAAATCAGAGAATAATTTCTGAAAAAGGTCACAAAATTCAGCAGTATCTCTGTCAAACAGATATTAACGTCATTCATATCTGATCAGTGAATATAATCAGAAGCATCCATACATAATCCAGCATCTGGAAGTCACTTTGCAATCTCTTGTAGGGCTCATTTTAAACAAACAAACAAAAAAAACCCATTCTTGGTTTGGCTGTATCTCTATTAGGTCATAGTAAATCACTCAGTCAAGAATCTGTCAGCTAGTCATCAAATCTGTGGTATTAAACAAAAATAAGCATGGCTCCTGTGTGGTCTGAATGAGAATGGGCCTCAGCAGATCATGTATCTCAATACTCGATTCCCAGTTAGTGGAACTGTTTGGAAATGATTGGGAGGTGTGCCATTCTTGAAGGAGGTGTGTTACTGGGAGCAGATCTGGAGGTTTCAAAAGCCCACATCATCCCCAGTGTCTCTTTATCTCTACCTTGTGCACGTGGATCAAGCCATAAGCTCTTGGCTACTGCCTTTACTGCCTCGCCTGTCTGCCTGCTGCCATGTTTCCCTGTGACAGTCATGGACTCACTTTCTGAAACTGTAAGCCCCAAATAAATTCTTTCTTCTATAAGTTGCCTTGTTCATGATGTCTTATCACAGCAACACCTAGTGTTTGCAGTCTTATGGGACATACTTAATGACATGTGAAACATTGAAAAGAGGCAGACACAGTGGTGAGAATCCATAGGAGGGGAGTTCTCTCTATCCAGCATGGCAGGAGACAGTTATCTTAGATCATACATTAGAATATGAAAGAATAGCCAGTACTTACTTCTTGGTCAAGAGAAAAGTTGTCTAAGTTGAGGGTAACAGCAAGATTTTTAAAAACTCAAAACAACTGCAGTAGGAGGGAAACTAGCAAGAGGAGGAGTAAAATAAAGTAGAAAATGTACAAACTGAAGCCACAGAGGCCGTGACTGACCTGCATCCTCAGGCCACTGAAGGTCTGAAGAGGTCTGAAGTAGACAGTCTGATGTCATTTGAAGGGCTTTGGGATTAGAATTCGTTAATGACTAACATATCCCTGAATCCCTTACATATTTTCTGTGGATCTTATATGAGTGGGTTTTGATAAATCTTGTCTTGTTTAATCCATGTCACTGTGTTTTATTTTCCCATATCTTGCATCTGACAACATTCCTGGGTAGTGCCAGGTTATACATCATCTCTCAGTGAAAACTGAGGATTGGAGATCCCAGAGAACAAACAACTTGACAAAGACAATCACATGGCTAGTTTCTATCAGCATTGTCATTAAAGCCTGAGTTTCCTGACGTCCTCATCTCTGGATCCTGAGGTAGTCACCTCAGACTCAGATTCAGAACCTTCATTTACAACACCTACCGATCATGAAGGAACAATACGTGCTACAGCATGGACCAACTGTGAAAGACCACGTATCACAAGATTCAACTTCTATGAGTGTCCAGGATACATAACTCTACAGAGCAAGATATGGTAGACTCAAGTTGTTTGAGTTGAGGAGATAGGAGTACAAGTTGGTGATAGGTAAGATGTCCAGGCTTCTTTTTCAAAGTATTTTAAGCTACCTGTGGTGATGGTTGAACACACCTATGAGCATACTCATAACCATATACTGGTGCTGGTAAATAGATTATATCTCAATAAAGCTGCTTTTGGAAAGAAACAAAACAAAACCAAAAACTGGTGCCAGGTGTGATTATATTTATCTGTAGTCCCAGATTGTCACAAGTTTGAGATCAGCCTGGCCACAGGCAAGACTCTATCTTTAAGGAGGAGGGCACTTAGTTTCTTAAAAGAAATTAGATGTTTAAATCAGAGCTATTATTTTCTCCTTTAAAAAATATTGGGGCAAGAGAGATGGCTGGGTGGGTAAAAGAGCTTGCTGCACAAGCCTGATGACGTATGTTCAATCCCTGGGACCCAAGCAAAAAGCTGGACATGATGGCAATCATCTGTAATCCCAGTACTCCATGATAGAATGGAAAGCAAAGACAGGAGAACTGGCCAAAACCATGAACAGGTAGAAACAAGAGAGACCTGCCTCAGTGGGGTGTAAGGGGAAAACCAACTCCCAAAAGGTGTACTTTGGATTCCACATGTGTGGTCAGCACTCACATACACACATACAAACAAACACACAAATAAAAATAATGGTGCTGAAAAGATAGGTCAGCAGGTAAAAGTACTTGCTACACAATATCAGGACTGGAGTTTGCATTCTAGCACCCATGTAATAAGCCACTGCCTGAATCTCTAGCTCTGAGAGATCCAATGCCCTCATCTGGCCTGTATACACATACAGATTTATGTACCTGTGTGCTTATACATGTGCACAAAAACTGAGTAAATAAAATAATAAACAAGTAAATGAAATTAAATCTACTGTCGATCTAGAGAGATGGCTCAGTAGATAAAGTGGACCTGAATTTGCCCCCCAGGACCATGTTCAAAAAGACTAACATGGTGGCATGTTACAAACACAGTGACTGTAAATTGTACAAAGGCCCCAAGTTCTATCTCTAGTTGTAAAACAAACAAACAAAACTAACAGACAGGCATTAAAATCTATTAAAATTGCATTAAGCTTGATCTGGACTTACAGCTATTGTGCAGCTGTCTGAATCTCGAGATGCAAATCCAACATTGCCTAAGTGAAGAATACCAGCGAGTATTCGAAAAATTCCCATTTGGTAAGATTCACTAATTCCTGAAATAGAGTAAAAACAAGCACTTGATGTCAACAAAGAACACTGAATAGTAACAAAGAAATTATAAGAAAAATTTAAGTCTACTATTAATTCTTGAATATTCCCAGATGTGTATATTACATATTTAGTCACATATAACAATACTTTCAGTTTTGTTCACAGTAACACATTAGGCAGTTTCGCAATGTGGGTTGTGGAGTGTGCCTAATATGGTCTCATGTCTTGCAATAATCACAGACACGTAACTTCATTGTCTATGACTTGGTTTTCTCACTTGAGATAAGGGGATAATTTTGCAAAGAGTGTTTGTAATATTAAATGAAATAATGTGCAGAGCATACCTGGACATGTTAGGTATTAAAAAAAATTACTATTGTCACATCTTAGACGTATAAGTATTTTATTAATATTATTGCCACTACTCATCCCTACTCTAAATGCATATTGTAGCCCAATAAGGCTGATTTAAGTTGGATTATTGAATTACTTCTAAGTATAGATTAATTAGGAATGAAAGAGATCCAAATATTAGAAGTGTTCAGATGGTTCTATATCCTAAGCTAATAAGTGAAGATCCAAACACAGCACTGGAACAAGACCTAAATGATAGGGTGAGATCAGAAAGTTGGATACTTTATGGCTTTTACCAGATCTGGCTTCAATTTTTCAGTAAAGAACAAAAGTTCTAGAATATTAAACATAATTCTGTAAGTAAAAGTGTAAAACTATTTTAAAAACATTTTTATAAAGGGTAATAGAGAATTAACCTTATGGTGAATAGTTTTGCTATTTCCTACATTATGTAATGGCTTGCTTGCTTTCCTTCCTTCCTTCCTTCCTTCCTTCCTTCCTTCCTTCCTTCCTTCCTCCCTCCCTCCCTCCCTCCTTCCTTCCTTCCTTCCTTCCCTCCTTCCTTCCTGTCTGTTTGGTTTATTTATTTTTATTTTTTTGAGACAAGGCCTTATCTATGTAGCCCTGGCTGTCCTTTAACTCACTGTGTAGACTAGACTGGCCTCAAACTCAGAGATTCTGCTGCCTCTGGCTCCTGAGTGCTGGGATTAAAGGAAAGGAGCGTACTATCATAACTCTGTTGTACCTTGATAGTAAGGTTATAGTCTACCATTTTCAGACAGCTTTCTTTAGCTTTGTGAAAAATGGAAGACTCCCTTTTTCTTAATGGGGCATACTCTTCTTTGCCTGAGCTGAGGATCATGACCCACAATCTTCTACCTGAGGAATATCACATTACAAGTTCAATCTCCTGGAATCCGTCTCCATGCAAATGAGGTATCCATAGAACCTTAAGCCTCAGTCAATGAAACTTTACCCTAAAAAGAACCCCTTCCCACTATCCAAGGTTCATATATATATAGCCCTTGATTCACCCAAATAAAGTATATGTGCACAAGCTATTTCATTGACTACTGTCTGACAGAGTAGTTTCACTGAATGTCCTCTCAAAGAACTGTAACACTGAAGAGCTGTAACACTGTAATCTTTGGAGAAGATGCCTACCTGACACCCCCCCTTCAGGCCTCTGGTCTTCTACCCCTCAACTTCCCACCCCCCAACCCCTCCTCACCCCTAGCATTTACTGCCAGACCAGGATCCTGTCCACCCACCAGTTCTGGACTTCGCTATATCCTTTCCCACCAGGTGTGCAACAGTCCTGGACACCCTCAAGGGAAGAAGTAAAAACCAGAAACACAGCTCCATACTGGACTTTCAAAATTCTTAAGTAAAACAATACTCTCTGGGACTTAATGTGCACATGGATCAACTGTACACCCTGCTAAAATGCAGATGCTGAGTCCAATGTTTTGTGAAGTAGTATGAGAGTGTATTTTTAGCAAGTCTTACAGGGTTCAGGACCTAAGCTCCCTTATTAGAAGGTATATCTCTAAATAACAAAATACAGTATTTGAGTTACTTTTATTCTGAGGCTTTTTTTTTAAAGAGCACCTTTAGAGATTGTATACTATTTACAACTCTAAGTATAAACTGACTGGCACTCAGATTTAACACTTGCTTTTTATTTATTTATATTTTAAAATTTTATTTAATCTTTTTTTCACATTCCAGATTTTATCCCCCTCCCAGTCCACCCTCTGACTATTCTCCATCTCATACCTCCTCCCCACAGCCCTGTCTCTAAGAGGATGTCCCCATCTCTCCACTCCCCAGCACACCAGACCTCTACAGTCAGTGGGATCTGCTTCAGAAACACAGCAATAACACTATGCGCATGTATAAAATTCTCAAACAAAATTTTAAAATTCCTTTATCAAAAACAATGAAAACAGTAGAATACATGTGTTCTGTCACCATGCCAATTTAGTTTTGCTTTTTAGCAGTTGTAAAGACCCTGAAGACAGCAATAAAAATAATGCAGCAAAGCCTGCACTGGCACAGTGTCACATGCCCTCCATCCCAGCACAGAGACGGAGGCAGAGGGACTGCAAGTCCTAGACCAGGCTGGGCTACATGGTTAAAACCTATCTCCAAACATTACCAACAAACAAAGCCAAAAAACCAAGTAATCAAGCTCCCGAACAACCAAGACCCACAGAATATGTTTATACAAAATCCATTTCAATTAGTCTCAAACCCTAGATTTTTTTTAAACATTTAGCTAAAAGTTAATCTTACCTCTCTGGATGCTGAAATATGGTTTTAAAGTGCAATTCAATGATCTTTGGTGACTTTACAAGGTTGAGCCACTACTGCCACTATCTAATCCTAGAACCATTCTAAGAAACGCCATGCCCATTTCTCTGCGTTCCATACATGTGAAATCTCCCAGCACTGTTGACCAGTTAACACAAAGACAAACGAATATTCCAAACAAAGACTGCTTGAGTCCAAATGACCAGCACTCATGAGTTCAAGACAGATGACATTACCCAGCAGAGAGCAGGCCTGCCTGGTGTGCGCCATCTCCTTTGCATCATCCACTCCTTCTATCATAGGGCTGCCTCCTTGCTTCGTGTAATGAAAACTATCTGCATTTCCTGCAGTGAAGGAAAGAAAAGGTTTTTAGTGTATGAGAAGGTTAGACTTCCACCCTATAAACATGCTGAATTACAGGTAGTGACAACACACTGATTACACACACACGCACACGCACACGCACACGCACACGCACACGCACACGCAAGGTTTGGAGTCTGTCTAGTTTACACTGACATTCTAATATAAAGTTTAAGATTTTATCTTAATTGGTGAAATAAATAATGTTTTCTTCAGAGTTAGTTCCAAACAAGCTACTAGGACAAGTTTCCTCTTTCATCAGAACAGTTTTCAAACATATATAAAAGTGAGGTGAGCCAGGCGGTGGTGGCACATACCTTTAATCCCAGCCCTTGGGACACAGAGGCAGCTGATAGCTATGAGTTCCAGACCAGCCTGGTCTACAGAGCCAAAGATAACCAAGGCTACACAAAGAAATCCTGTCTCAAAATGAAATGAACAAAACAAAATGAACCACAAAATAAACAAACAAAATAGCAGAGGCTAGACCCTAAACCCACCTCCTCCTTACCCAGCTTCCACAGGGCCAGTCCTGTGCCTGATTAGAGCCACACCCTCCTCCCCGTGGGGGTTCTAAAGCTAGATGCAGACCTCCAGGAATCATTTTCTTCATAAATATTTTAGTACTAAGGAGGATTTTTTTTTGACAAACTTGAGAACTCAAAACTTAACAGAAAAGAACACCAATACGAGAAATCTAGTGTCATATTCATACCTAACCGCAGCATCTTAAATTCAGGTAACTTTGCTGAAGCACAGAGCTGATAGAAGATATGGTAGTTTCTCTCTTCTTCTGCCTTTGAAATAAGAAGAGTTTTCAATTGTGGCATTTTAATATAAAACTCAGGAAAATCTATGATAACATAAAATTTTAATGTTGTATTATCTCAGTAAATCCCCACATTTTGTAAAACTGATTTAAATAATTAACCCTTATGATTTATAGTATATATGCAAGATAGGAGGATGGCTTGAGACTTGAAGCCAGATTAGGCAAAACAGTAAGACTCTGTCTCTTGAAAAATAGAAAATAAGTAATAAAGATGTACTAGTCATATTCAGTATAAATACCAGCGAGCAAGGATTTTAAGGTTTTTTAGTATTGTAGTCTAAACCCATGACCTCGAATATTCTAGACAAGTGTTCCCTACCACTGCACTATAGCCCAAGTCTAGTTTCGACCCTTTTTATTGAGATAGTCTTATCTAAATGTCTTTTCTGTCTCTGAATTCCTCTGTAGATCAGACAGCCCTTAACTTGTGATTCTCCCAATTCAGCCCCCTGAGAGGCCTATAACATTTTGCCTGGCTTAGTAATGCTTTCTGAATTAGTGAACAACTTGATAGATGGCCAAAATAATAAATAAATAATAATAAATAATAAATAAATAAAATAAATAAATAATAAATAAATCCATAATAAATAAATAAATAATAAATAATAATAAATCCATAAACATACTTTCCCTATACATTTATATATTATAAACTTTGTAGTATGTAACATATATATTTTTCCTATGAATAATAATTTGATAAAGTAAAAAAACAATAATTTATAATCTATGGTCAATTTTTAGTATTTCCTTAGTCTTTTTCTACATATACACCTAGAGTATAGTTGCAAAAATTATTAACATTCGATCAACATATTTTTAGAATTTGCAATATATCCATGCCAATAAATATTAATGTTAATAAGGTTAAGGGAAGTCTTAAAACGCAAAGGCATCAATGACTATTGCAGGACACAGGACACTGAATAAACATACCGATGATCACAAGCACAATGAGGCAAGAGATCAAGTGGTTCAGCAAACAGAAACTAGAAAAGCAGGTGGCTCAGCAGAAACACTACAGTCATCCTGTACAGGATGGCTAATGCTCGGCCTATTTATTTTGACTATGATTCATTTGTTATAACAAACATTCTCAATGTTCTAGACTCCTGGAGACTGGGGAGCTGTAAGACTTACTACCACACTTAAAGATAAGGATGAAGGCTTACCATTCTTCTCAGGCAGTAACAGCCACTAGTCAACATACTGACCAAGGTCAATTTCCTACTTTGCTCACAATCCTACAAATTTCTTTTTTTCAAACATTAATTTTCACTTTATGTACATAGGTGTTTTGCCTGTACGTATGTCTGTGCACCACATGTGTGCAGTATGTGTAGAAGGCAGGAGAAGGTATTGAATCTCCTGGGACTAGAGTTACAGACAGTTGGTAGCCATTATATATGTACTGGGATTTGGACTCAGATCCTCTCTTAACCTCTGAGTCATGTCATTAGTCTCAAGTTCCTACACATATCTATGTGGATTTCATGCATTTCTGTTTCACTCATTCTTTCTTCTCACTAATAGACTTAAAAAAATCCTATGTGTGAATAATACTGTTATTTGTAACTTAAATACTAGAGTAACAGTAGAGGGTAGCTATTGCCTTACTATCAATATCAAATGCTATGTTTATAGATATCAAGCATTATAATTTGCTTAAGATTAAATATTTAACCAGGCACAATCCCAAAGTCAAAGCCAGGGTATCTGGACACCACAACTCTTGACTCTTGGTATGTGCTAGACAACTTCAAAGCCACAACAGACTTAGGCAATAAACAATGGACCCTGACATGTGGAATATTTGAATTTAAATGATGTGGCATCAAGCATATGGGTCACTGAGACTCTGGGTCTCGGTATGAGGTATGTAGTGGATCACCAGGAACCACATACTGACTTTTTTTTAATGATAATCAACATTGCCTAGAATGCCTACAATGTATGACTATACACCAGCTAGTGCTATAAATGTGTAACATGTCTCCCTTTCCGTCAGAAAGAAACAACAATGTAAGTGTCAACAAAAAATCCTATACAAATATTCAACTATGGTTTTGATGGCAGTTTACAGCCAGGTTACAAAGACTTTCTTTTAGCTCTGTGGCAGTACAGAGCTGGGCTGAAACATCAGTGTTAACAGGAAGAATGCCAGTCTGTAGAAGAGCGCTGGGAGCCCTTCCTTACTGGGTTTCTTCTAAAGAGCATGTTCACAAACAGCCCTGCCTATTCGATGGAACTTGGGACGGATATTATGTAACTATTCTATAATAGATCGGGGCCACATGGCTCAGTACCTGTTGGGTTCTTTCCTCGGCTCATTAGCCCACTTCCATCCCTTGGGTGTTTTTCCTTTCTTAATGAGCTGTCTGTTTCTATTTCTAACCACATCCCTTCCCAATCCATTGCTCTAGGGTACAAGAGCCTAGAATTGGGTGCCTCGGAACTCAGATCTGGGGCTAGATACTCCTGAGCACACTTTTCCTTTCACTGTCTGACTTCCACACCTAGCTTAAAAGGCCTGACTTTCCTCTATCTCCCCTCTTCCTGGTGGTTGCTGGGATTTTGAGCTTTCCTCTATTGTTGCTTTACTTTCAAACTTTAAAAGTATGCTCAAGCCTCTGAGTCCATTTTTCAACTATTTTAATAAGACTAAGATAGAACTCCCTCCTCATAATTTTCCTGATAACATTACTATCCTACCCAAATAATGTCATATCCTAAGAATCAAAAAGAAGCAAAGACGACAGGTATATTTTGTTTTTCTTGAGCTGAGTTCAAATTGTAACTCTTTGAAGACATAGATAAATGCTTTATCAGTTGGAAAATATAGAGGCAAGACTAAATAGCACCTCTTTTTAACTAGCCTTTTCAACAAGCATCTTGTAAGAAAAATTCAAAACCACTATACCAGACTCAGAAAGACAAATACTGCATTCTTTCTGCTATATGGAGAACCTAGATTTAAATATAAATAAATGCATGACACATGCACATATATAAAACGACATGAACACACAACATGAAAGTAGCATAGAGACTGTGAGGAACGATGCCTATACAGTGGACAGTAGAGAACAAGAGGTCATGGAGTAGAGAAGACATGATGTGTTTTCTTTCACATGCACAATCTAGCTTTAGGATATAGATAGATATGCATACATATACGTATATGAATAAAAGCAGACCAGCAAGAGAAAAGAAGAACAGCAGGGAGTACAGGAGTGGTATGGAGCTAGGAACAATTACATATATGTGTATGGATATCATAATGAAATCCATTATTTTAGATAGTAACTGTAAAGTTATCAAAATATGAAGCATTAAACCTAAATCAATGTCCACTTTCAAGGACTATTAGGTTCAAGAGGTTGTCCCCAACTTCTGACGCAGCAGTTTACATTTTACATGTTTCTATCCAAGTGTGATTTAAAGTAATGCCATGAGAATATGCTCAAGAGTACTATGAAATAAAGTATATCATACTAGCAAGCAAGGGCTCTCTAGTTGTTCAGTATGGCTTTGTCCTTGGGAATAAAATGACCATCATTTTGGAGAAGAGATTATGTTGGCTCTCATAGCCATGAAAACTAATTGAGCAGAGGCCTAAAGAAGTAGCTGTATGTAAAGTAATGCCAATGGAGCTGAGATATATCCGAGTAGAAAGAGGGAAATTGGGGTCAAAAGTGTCAGATGAGACTGCAGCCATTACTTTCTGCTCTGTCCTCCCCCAGTGCAAATGATCTTGGGAGATGCTAGGAAATAAAAACAAAACCAACTAACTTAGCCAAGCAAACAAAACCCCCAAAACCGGAAGGTTAACTGAAAGGGGGCTCTATGATACAGCTTGCATGAGGTTGTTATCCATCATGGATGGACATTCATGGTGACAGAGCTGCTTTGGGGTTAACATCTATGCAAATAAGCCTAATAAATTCATTGGGCAGTCAAACTGGACTCCCATAAAATAGCTTCTATTCTGTCCTTGGTGCTCTCTTTTGGGTATTTGTTCCTGTCTACCCAAGAAAACTTTACATAACAGTAATTATAAAGTAATCCTAAAACACACAAGTATTTGAATATATGCACATCCAGCTTACCTGGAACACCACTCTGGATTTCTCTAAAAGGTAAGTTCTCATATTGGCACCGATGATTCGATATCTCTTGTCAAAACCAATTTCAATATATTTTCCAAACCGGCTGCTATTATCATTCCTGGTTGTTTTGGCATTTCCAATTGACTAAGAAGCAAGAGAAAAAACAGGATCTTAGAAGGGCAGTGCATGGCATTCACAAAGCTTACTCAGAGAGAGAAGGAATAGAATCTAATTCTTCCATTTTTAGTGATCCTTTTAAGATGAGATCCAATTTTTCCCCTGTAGGGAGCACACGTGTCTGCTTTGCCCAGCTGCACAGGTAGATACCAATAGTCTTTCTTTGTCTTGTTATTCTCACACAAATGCATTTCAGAAGCAGAAGGACTAATGGACGCAGCAGTGGTGAAATTTCCATACACCATCTGGGGCATACAAACATTCATGTCCACAGAGAGAGAGATATAGGGCTGGAGCTGCCAGAGCAAAGCCTTGTCCTTAGCCATCAAAAACTCAGAAGACTGTCTTATGTGACACCATTAAGACAAAGAAAAAATTTCCTGGAAATGCTGGTTTGGTATAAAAGGTCTCTTTAGAAACTAGCCAGTTCTATCATTTTATCCCATAGCAACAAAGGACAAATGATACTGCTTATAAGCAGAATATTTAGTATTATCCACCCTACTGATTGATTACATTTTGAGGCAGCATCTCACATACCCGAGGCTAGCCATGAGTTCCTTATATAGACAAGGATTCCTTTAAACTTATATCTTCCTGCTTCTACTTCCCAAATGCAGAAGGTATAGGCATGTGTCACCATGCCTGGCTTTATGCACTTTAAATGTCATTTTCAGAAACCAGAAGTAAAAACATGTCTCTTTCTTGCATATTCTGTGAATGTGTGTATGTGTACCAGCACATGCATGCAGTTGCACTGTACATGTGTGTGCATGTGTACATAAAGCCCAGAGGTTAATGTCAGTTGTCTTCCTTGATCGGTGTCCACTTTATTTACTGAGCAGGGTTTCTCACTGTACCCAAAGCTTATTGACAATGCAGCGTATCTCAATACCCATCATGCCCTTGGAATCCTGTCTCTACCACCTAAGCACTAGGATTTTAGGCAGGCCACCAAACCCAGCTATTTTTGTTTATGTTTTTATGGTTTCTTTCTTTCTTATTTTTTCCTGAGACAAGGTATATGGCTATCCTAGAACTCAATATAGAGACCAGGCTGGCCTCAAACCCAGACATCTGCCTGCCTCTGTCTCTCAGTTTAATCTCTGTGCTAGGATTAAAGGCATGTGTCACTACCGCCTGGCTAAGCCCAGCTTTTTAATGGAGGTGTTTAAGACCTAAAGTCTGGTTTGAATGCTTACAGGGGTCTATCTACTTTATCTATCAAGCCACCCCTCCAGAACCTAACTGGTTTTTGTTGTTGTTGTTTTGAGTTTGTTGCTTGCTTGCTTTAAAGACAGGGTCTCATGTAGTTCAGGTTCACTCTGAACTTGCTATGTAGCTGAGGCTAACCTTGAACTCCTGGTCCTCCTGCCCCTACCTATAGAGTGCTAGGATTACAGGTATGTGCACCAGGCTCTGTTCATGTTAGGCAGGCACTCTTCCAAATGAGGAACTCTACAGCCCAACATTGATTTTAATGGTTTTATCTAACTTGTAAATATCTTCAACCATATACTGAGAATTTAAATTTTACTAAATATTGTTCATAACCTTAAGTTTTTGATGGCATATGCCTGCTTTTTAACTTAGTGACATGCTTCTGTAACTCTTTTAAGTCAAAATAAAAACATAGTGTAGTTAGAAGAGCAAGCATTCACATAATGCATATATTAAACACTGAATAACGTTATTCCGTATAAGATTAACGTTTGTCCCTTGTACAAAGTCTTTTAGGATTAGTATATGAAAGCCACAGCAAACAGAGTGATGTGAAAATGGTGTAAAGTGTTAAGAGAGAACAAGTTTCAGGGATAAAAACAATAGGATTCTAGCTAGCCGGAGGAGCCAGCATACTTACCTGATCTTCTCATCAAAGACAATGAGGTAGTATTTTAAAAGAAATACAGTGTCATCATTTGTGTTGGCTATGAAGATACTATTAGAATTTGGATTATTACTTTTAAAGTACTTTAGAAGAGGAATAAAAATGATTGAAAACTATCTTTCTAGCACAATATAGTGATTTTTAAAAAGCTTAGGATAATTTTTTTAAAATTTTTTTTTGAACATGAGATGCTTTTTTATAGCATGTTTTACAAGGGGAGGGGCTAAGAGGGGCCAGGTGGTGGAAAAGTACAGAATCTTCTTGGCCTGTGCCTTGAAACATGTCATGGTCTATACGGTACACTGCCTTGAATTATGATCTACTTGCTATTCTTCAGAAGATATGGTACACTGCTTGAGTTATGGTCTCCCTGCTATTCTTCAGAAGATATGGTACACTGCTTTGAGTCTATCGGCAGTTGCCAAGCAGGATCTTGCGGTTGCCAAGCTTCAGGGGACATTGTGCAGGTGGGGAAAGGTAGGGGGTGAGGGTAAGGGCGAGGGTCCTGGCTTCTGGCACATCTGGATTAGAACTTCTAACAGCAGGCATCAGGGGTGATTCATTTTTACCTGGGATGCTGCGTGAGTTCAAGCTCCTGGGAGTCCCTGTTTCTCTCGGTTTTCTGGGGTTGGATACGGAGCTGCCGCCTGTGACCTGCTCTATGTTCGGACCCAGACGGGAAGCCAGCTTAGGATAATTTAACCAGATAGATACTTAGTTTGTTTTTTTGTTTTTGTTTGTTTGTTTGTTTGTTTTTTGAGACAGGGTTTCTCTGTGTAGCCCTGGCTGTCCTGGAACTCACTCTGTAGACCAGGCTGGCCTCGAACTCAGAAATCCGCCTGCCTCTGCCTCCCAAGTGCTGGGATTAAAGGCGTGTGCCACCACTGCCTGGCTTTTTCTTTTATTTTGTTTGTTTTTTTTTAAACAGACACTTAGAAATTATAAACTCATGTGAGTTTGTGTGTTTGTGTGTGTGTGTGTGTGTGTGTGTGTTGGTTGTGTTTTAATACCCAAAGACCTTGCTGTATAAGCAAACTCAGAAAATAAACCTTTCATTCAATGACAAGAGCCTTGGATAACTGATTGGTCAAAGATCCTACTACAATAGTAGTTGGTGAAGATGTTGCCTTTAGGAGTTCTTCGATGTACTGTTCACTTATGAGACAAATGTGGAAACTGTCTTAAGAGCCCATTGTATGAACAAGGCTTTGAAACTGGAATTGATCACTGGTGCTGCTGCCATTGCTGAAATTCAATTTGCAGAGTACACTTTTCCTGCCTTTGGTCAGATTGGAGCTGTAAAGAGTCACTATTGCTCTGGAGTCTTTTCAACTGTGGGAGCCTCACCATCAGGCCCACAGGACTCTCTCTCATTCTCAGAGTCCTGAAGCTTGTTTTGCCAATTGTTCAGGGACGAGAGTGATTATACTCAGAAGCTCTTTCCTTCTTTCTTTCTTTCCTTCTTTCTCTTTCTTTCTTTCTTTCTTTCTTTCTTTCTTTCTTTGTTTTGTTTTGTTTTGTTTTGTTTTGTTTTGTTTTGTTTTGTTTTGTTTTGTTTT